AGCTGCAGGAGTAATATAAGGCTATGACTTCAATCTGACACTGGTGCATTATCTGCCAGTAGGTAGTTGTGTTCCTGGCCTTTGTATTATTCCTTGTGATTAGTGAAAACGAATGTCTACTTGTCACGTGTTGTAGCTCTGACTCCTGTATTCCTTCTGTGCATTGGACCTCCCTGGTTTCTTCTAAAGCCTCCTTGTTATCTCTCCAGTCATTTCTTGCCCTCCACCACTTGCCGACCGGTTGTATGAGCTTTTGGAACCTCCTCGCTCCTTTTTACTGGAAACTTTTAGGAATTTCTTTGGGGATGTAGAATAAATGAATTATTAAACACCTGACTCCCTGTCAGGGACCAAACACCATTCTTTCATGTAACGGACAGTTTCTCACCACAATACTAACAAGGAACTGCCACAAATCGGAACTTGCTGGAAGCTGTTTGTATTTATTCAACCACTTCAGTCCTCAGACAGCCTGAGATGCTGTAAGCAAAGACACAATGGACTAAACCATCATGAGTTTGAGGAAGAACATAATTTTTCAAAGGCAGAAATGATTGTTTTCCAGTGTAAATGGTGGATATGCTTACTGATTTTTGTATTGCCTAAAAGTATAGTTTCCTTAAATGATTTAGTGGGAGAAACTATCTCAGATGTTCAAAAATTTGAGGGTGTATCGACCAATCCAACCCACCTGGGATTTCCATAGGCATACGGTGATGATGACATGCTAAAGTTCAAACAAAGCATCAGAATGGGGAAGAAATACAATCTAAGTGACTGCATGAATGACTGAATGTGGTTGTTGGTGCCAGACAGACTGGTATAAATATTTAGGAAATAGTTTTTATACTGATAGGTTTACACCCATCTATACGTGGCATTTTAAGAAAATCACCCAAAACGAGAAAATATCCAGTGAGCAGCATTTGTGTGAACAGAAAGGCCCTGTTAATGTAGGAGGTCAGTGTAGAATGAGGGGACTGGTTTGAGATGAGAAAAAAAGGCAAGAGATGCTCAAATAAGCACTTGTTCCACTAAGGCAGGGGTGTCAAATTCACTTACAAAAAGGGGCCAAAATTAAAACCTTTTTTCAAATTAAGGGCCATTTTCAGAATCTACATTAACTCAAGTCAGATACCCAACATGTTTTCTTGATAGCAGGCTCCTCAAGAGTTTGAGTGGTCTCATTTGTTGCACTTTTGACATCATAATCACAGATTACTTAAAAATTCAAGTGATACAAGTATTTTACATTTAAAATAACATCTTGGGGGCCAGATAAGACGTCAACGAGGGCCACATTTGTCCCCTGGGCCTTATGCACTAAGATCTGGATAATCTCATCTATGAACACACAACACAACTTCTAGCAGATGGGTCACAGCAGCACAAGGCCACACCTGGTGCCACTATCAGTTAAGAACAGGAAGCTAAGTCTATAGTCAACACAGAAAAATACTGCCTGGTCTGATGGGTCAGGACTCACTGGACTCATTAGACCTTAATCCAATCAAGTACCTATGGAATATGGAACATGAGACTCACATTAAAGACATGCAGCTGACAAATCATCAGCAACAGCATGATGGTATCATATCAACATGGACCAGAATCTCTAGGATTGTTTCTACAATCTTGTTGAATCTAGGCTACAAAGAATTAAGGACATTCTGAAAGCAGACGGGTTCAAACGTGGTACTACTTGTATAATAAAGTGCCTGATGAGTGTATAAATATGTATTTAAATTATCATCATCATTTGTTCATTTACGGCATATCTTGAGCTAGAGCAGTGGCGCACACATGAGTTCATGCCAAGTTCATGTGAATGTCACTGCTCCAGGTCCAAATACGCTGTAAAATAAGTTATTTTTCTTCTTTGGTGTTTTATGGCAGATTGCATCCACTCTGCTGCATTACCGCCTCCTTGAGACGAACCCCAAGCCTACATTTCCGAAAAGGAAGTTTCACTGATGTGAAACGTAAACCTGTCAATCTGCATTCGATTACACCGTGGCTTTCTTGAGGACCCGGCTGTGTGACACAAAAAATGAATTTTGGAACTGAAATCGAAAATTATACAATTATATTACAGACAATGAAAGTAGTCAAACTGAATTTTCAGTACAACAAAATACAGTTTCATAGCAAATGAATTCAGTTTCAAACCATTAAATTCAGTTTCAGTTCAGTGAAAATCATTTTCAAACCAACGGATTTAATTTCAAATTACACAAATATAGATTCAGTCTGAGCAAATTAAATTCAGTTTCTGTGCACAGGTTTGACACGGCTCACCAAAACACTGGCCAGGTCGATCTGCTGAATCCATGCAGGTGTCTCAGAGGTCGTCTGGCCCAAACTGAAAGACCAGAAGAGTTTCTATCCACAGGCCATACAGATACTAAACATACATGTCACTATAAATACCACATGAACTGATAGCTTATATAAAAATTAAAAAAAATCTGGTCATTTATATATTTTGTTTTACCTTTTCAATTAAAATTATGTTTGACAATCATAATGTGAGCTACATTACTCTTACTGCTACGTTTCCACCCAAGACTATACATTAAAGCTTTTTTAGTTCACAAAAAGGCAGCACGGTGGCGCAACTGGTAGAGCTGCTGCCTCTCAGCGAGCAGGTCCTTGGTTCAAACCCCGGTCCAGGGGCCTTTCTGGGTGGAGTTTGCATGTTCTCTCCGTGCATGCGTGGGTTTTCTCCGGGTACTCCGGTTTCCTCCCACAGACCAAAAACATGCATGTTAGGCTGATTGGCAACTCTAAATTGTCCCTAGGTGTGAGTGAGAGAGTGAATGGTTGTTTGTCTCGTTTGTCTCTATGTGTCCCTGCGATGGACTTGCGACCTGTCCAGGGTGTACCCCGCCCCTCGCACAGTGATTGCTGGACATGGGCACCAGCGACCCCCGTGACCCAAAATGGAATAAGCGGGTAAAGATAATGGATGGATAGTTCACAAAAACAGCTTTACTGCTTTTATTACCTTTACATCTGCCGGTACAGTTTCTTGCACTGACTTGAAGACTGTTTTGTTAACTCTTCAGTCTATCTTGTGGCAGAGTGCTCCACCTCCATTTTACTGTGATTTGTAATTCTGTGATTGTGACAAATCCAGAACCTTGCACCGTTTACATGGAAATAAGTCTGTCTCTTCCACTTGCCAGTTTTGAAAGACAAAACAAAGACAAATAACAAAAACTGCTTATTCTCTGTTATCAGTCTGTTTGCCATTCGTTCCAGCCATGGGTAGAACGAGTCCAAGTTTTATAAAACAGAAAGAATGTTTTTATTTTTCAGATGGAGCAAAAAGTGGAAGCTCCTGTGACGACACTGTGTTTCAAAATAAGATATTGTCCTCCTCCTCTCCTGCCCACACATGACTCACTTCTTCACTACGTGTATCAGGCGAAAGCTCGGCTGTTGCCGTGGTAACAAGTGACTCAGCAGGTGGGAAGCAGCAGATTGGAGCTGCTTTGCAAAAATATTCACTGTTGTGTTTAGGAGCTCTTCGTCAAGACATTGATTCTGATTTCACTTGAGTTTGTGTGTGTGTTTGTTAATGATTTAAATCTGCGTGGACAGAGCTACACTGCAAAACACACATGACCTCAGATCTGTACAGTAAAATGTATGTACCAGATGAGAAAATGGAGTTGGAACAGTCATCTCAGATATTCAAAGTCAGCTTGGACTATGTAATCTTCACCCGTCAGCTCAGGTCCAAACAATGAAAGGGTGGTACCCTGCATGCCCCCACATTATTTTGCTCTTTTTATGGTTTCAACGTGTGACCTCCAGACCATACCTGAGAATCAATCTCATTCAGCCCAATAATTAATATTCTTTTTTTAAAGTCTAATCAAATTGAAGAATCAGTTGTATGGTCATAAAGGACTCAGTAATGGTGTCTAAGTCTGTCAGAGTGCTTGCTGAGTTCAGGATCAGGCCCAAATAGTATCTCAAACAGCAGCATTAGCACATGCAGCTAAACACTTGAACGCATCAGTGTCCCTTCCTTTGACCTATGAGTAAGAAGTGATGCTGAGATTTTAGATGTGTTTCAAAATCTGCACCTGCAGGTGATGAACAAGCCTGAGTCTAAATGAGTCATCTTGAAGCTAACTGAATTAGCATCCATAAGCTGAGAAGCAAAATGTTATGCTAGCAGCTATTTTTGTGAAATTAGTTTTCCGTGAAGCACTTTATGAGACGGGCTGCTGAAGCAGACAGGGACACAAAATATGTCATTTCTACAGATGAAAAATAAATAAATAAATAAAATGCTGTCTAAGTCTGCAAAACAAGTAGCAACCTGACTATGAAAATAGATAATTCTAGATAGGCTGTAAATGACCTAAACAACATGATCAGTAGCAGAGAGACGAGTCAGGAAGGATTGATAATCCTTGTATAAAGGCAAAGGGTCCCACCTGACATCCTCAATCAAAGTGTTCAATCAAAACAAGGACTCTAGGTAGGTAGGTAGGTAGATAGATAGATAGATAGATAGATAGATAGATAGATAGATAGATAG